GCATCAGAGCTCTCAACAAGGGAGTCTGACAGACTAACTCCCTCTGTACCCATGTCTACCACAGGATAGCAACTCAAATCAAGAAGATGCTCCTTTCTTTTTTAGAAAGCTAAGCAGTGATTTCAATGACAGAGAAAAATTAATACCCTCCTAAAGAAGTATACAAACCACAATATTCCAGCATTTTGCTTACAAAACAATGAGAAACTACTTAGAAAATATTCAATGACATACATACAGTTTTACTGGATGGCATCAACTTGTATCCAGCTCTGACTGCTACACACCTTAAATTAACACCACTCAATCTGCAGTAATCTCCACAAGGAGGCTCTTACCTGCAAGAGTGAGGCTGCATTTTAACTCTTCTAAACATTTACGTAATACTTTTGTTGGAAGTCTATCAGCAAACACCAGAAACTAGCTAAGAAAATGAGCTAGTCTTTCAGACTTTTATTCCTGCTACTTAATAAGATATGCCATAATAAGGCAGAGCAGGGAAGCTTACACTCACATGGAAAGAAACCCTCACTAGCACTAAGCTTCACACACTACTTGCCGTAAGTATTAAAACAATGGTGAGCTTTGTGAGCCCTACAGTTTTTAACAATAAAGAGTGTGAACAGCTTTCTAAATAGCTGTTCTGGGAAAGATTTGTGTTAAACATTCTGTGTCATTTTATTAGAATTTAAAAGCTCCCATATGTTGCCTAATGATGCTTAACGACCTGGCTCAGGGAAAAACAACACAGTGGCCAACCCCAGGCCGCTCGGTCCATCTGCACACAGACATCAGTGTGATGGATAGCAAATGGCATTTATTATTGTATAACACCGCTTTTTATATCCTGGGTTTATGATGTCACATCCGTCTGCCTACGTTTTATCTTCCCGTACAACACAATATCTTCCGAGCGCCAGACCCTAACTCCCACATTCCCCCCCTCCCATGCTATTTTAATGGTCTGACAATACCTGTCAAATTTATTGGAAGGTTATATTGATTAGGAATTAGATAAACCTTAAAAAACACAGCGTACCTAAAAAAAAAATGTTTCATAAAGGCTGGAATTATATAGCAGCTGCAATCATTGATAAAAAAGTAAACTAAATATATTATTTGTGATTAAAATGTAAAATAGTGCACTTAATAAGAATGCTAACATTCAGACCCGCAATCGCTAGGGAACCCTGGGTGCAGCGAGAATCAGAGTGCCCTTCCTCACAAACTGGAAACCCTACGTGATGCGTCCATCCGTAGGAGAGGCATCCAACATCGCTGCAAGCAGGTCCTGCTGTGAAATCAAAAGGCCAAAATGACTGGCAAATTCCTTTAAGTGGGAACATCTGATTCTAAATCTCCTGTTGGGTTCTACCCAGAGTCTGGCCAGCACTCTGGGGGAAGACCAAGGGAGTTTTTAAAGGTAAAATAAAGCTCTTTGTTCTTAATGCCAGTAAATATAAAAATAAAGCATACATATAAAACATTAAGGCTATAGATAATAAGACTATCAGACTTAAAATGACAGACTAAGGAGGTAATATATTGAGTGCCGAGTGAGCATGCTTTAGAGCATTTGCTGGTGATCGATAAATAGAATGTTAACCTTTTCTAAGCGGCTTTTCACAAACAACACTAACTTATTCAATATGCAAGGCCCAAAAATTAGTACCAACAGTATTATGGTGAGTGGGCTGATAAGAGTGGAAAAAAGGATGGTTAGCCATGGAGACTGTCTGAACCAAGAGCTGAACCATTCTTGTAGGGCTTTTCTTTCCCTTTTTCTCTGGGCTAGCTGATCTCTCAGTTCAGCCATGGTGTCCTGTATGATTCCTATGTGGGCTGCATAAAAACAACATTCTTCCTCTAAGGAGGCACAAAAAAAGCTCCTTGATACAACAGTCGAAGGTTTAACCCTTGCCTATTCTGCAAAACGACCTTCGAAAGGACTTTTTCCAAAAGAGAGATAGATTTTTCAGTTCTTTGTAGGTCCTAATCTATGGTCATTTGTAGCTGGGATAATCCCTGGCACTGGGTTGCGAGGGCTGAAACTCCCGTGGCTGTGCCGACCGCTCCTAGCCCAAGAAGCGTTGCAATGGTGATGTCTGTTAGTACTGCTCTTTTATCAATCTGGTGAGGTTCTTCGAAATAGTGTTATAGGTTTTCCTCTGGGTGATATAGGACCTTAGGAGCAACTATAACTTGGACACAAAAGTCGGCAGAATTATCAAAAAGAATAAGGGACACACAGGGACACACTCCTGACTTGTGGCAGACCCACATTGCGGATGTAGATGGGATTGCCCATTTGTAGGCTCTGTTGACCCTAACAGTTTTTGCACAAACAAAACTACCCCAGTTTGGCAAAGAGGTATTGCCCAGACATACGCCCTGGCCTTTGACCTGGTTCAGGGTGATCCCTCTCTGTGGTGTGTCCCACCTGCATTGAGTTGGATTATTGTCTGGCGAATAGTAAAAGGAGGCATTGAAGGCGACGTCCTCATAAAAGGGCGGGTTCATATTGTAGCACAGCCAGCAGGAGCTCGTGAGGTCTGGATCTGACTGGTTCAATGATCAAAAGGTAGCACTCCGTACATTAAGGAACAGCTTATCATGTAAGCGGTAAGGGCCCACCTTGGGTTCGCTTGGAGGGGTTATTTGCTTAGCTACTAGGGGAGTAGTTAGGATAGGGGTGGATAATGGCAAGCTTTCTCTTCCTTGTTCAGCGTCATTGTCATTTCTGACTATGACATTGGGGCTGATTGCTGTGCTGCTTTGTATTCCCCGTTTTCTAATAGAAAACAAGCTCCCCCTGTCTGTACCAGATTCACAGTGTCTGACGGCCCAAGTTTTCCCAATCATCCATCTCAGATCATCCTCATTGGTGACATTGAGCATAAGGTACAGACACCAATTCTTGATTTACCCATGGGTTGCTTCTAGCCCTGGTCTTAAGGGGTCTTTTGGAGGAATGACACACCTGTAAGGTCCTGGTTGTACTTTCAAATATTTGTCTGGTCCTGCTCCTGGCGCCCAATCTGAGGCAATTGTCTCACATCCCCAGTGGGAACAGTAATACTGATTGGGGGTGTTACAGTAAGGCCTGCTGGGGTTAGAGCTGGGACACATGTAATAGCTCGATGTGTGTAAACAGGACTCTACTGGGGCTAAGTCACAGAGTTTTACCTGAAAGCTAGGGGGGCCCGAAGTGATGATTGTTTGCAGTATCTCTTGATCCCACCTTGTTAATACCCATTCCCACGGCTGGTGTTCATACGAGCCACAAGATACTATGAACCCTAAAAGCAAAATTAAACAGAAACATCACAGCAGCCCTTTGCGGGGGCGTCTCAGCTGACGCTCGGGTTCTGGTGAAGCAGAGCTATCCGCTGTAGTCAGGGTATTCTCTGACTCACTCTCCTCTCTCGCCACAGGAGCATACGGGTTACGGGGGCGCCTGATGGTTAGGTTCTGCGAATAAAAACTTATAGTTCTCATTAGTTTCATCCTAGAGGTCAGGTTTAATAGACTTAAGAGGGCACCATTTAATTTCACCATCTTTTTAACTGCGGCATACTCCCATCCTGTTAAAACTAGCCTCCACCCCTGTTCCCATTTTCCCAGTTCATTTCTGATTGTGGCCGGTGGACCTTCTTCTAATGCTCGCCATACCACCTTATCAGTTTTGTGTTCTTCTTTTCACAGCTCAATCACCCCCAAGAGCAGTGGTTTGTGGTCTGAAGCTACCAATCTAGGTAGCATATGATGCTATCAAGCAATCCTGAGTACCTGAGCACTGTCAGGCACTAGACACCTTGTAGGTGACAGCTCTGTCTACCTGCATGCTAGACAACCCCTTCAAGCAACGTGGCCCAATGACAGGCAGTAACAAGCAATACAGTCATAGCAAGGAACAAAGTCTTTGAGATACGGAATGAATAAAGTACAACTACCCTGGACAATTCTGTTCCAAAGCAGGTGCAGAACAAAACCAGATCAACTGTAAATATTCACCGCCTTCCTCCATCAGATGCTATAAAGTAATTGCTTCAGTGCTAACTAGATGTTGAGCAGTGGTGAACTGTCTGCTTGAGAAGTACCTGAAACCTGCAGCTGATCAGAATGACTACTTACTCTATTGTAAAATATAATACTCCAAAAGGTATAGATAGCATGAGTGAAGTAGAGGTGTGGGTATGGAACTGAGGCTTTTGTAGGTTAGAGAGATGAGGATACTGTAGCAGAAAGTTAGAATCACGGGGCTCTGGATTCAATAAAGATAATAGTGATCAAGAGTTTGGTAAAAGGCACGTACCAATGTGATGAGGCTGACCTACCTATTAGACTTGTGAATGCACCATTGTTTTATAGAATTTCAACTCAGCATTTTTACTCCTTTAAGCCAACAAAAAGATCCTTTCCACCATTCAAAGATCTTGAGAAAGAATTTGAAAAATGCAGCAGACAAAAGGTGCACCAGAACTATTTTCATCACACGTAGTTACATTACAAAGCAATTGAGGAATAGGCGTCTAATTTTTCATTACTGCTACAAAATAAAATCAATTAACTTCTCACCGCTGCAGTCTGATACATAAGGCAGGTTACCAACAAAGCAGTAAAAGCATTTCCTTTCCCAGTTAGTAAACGTGAGCTCAGACTACTGCCTCTTCCTATTAGGGGAAGGAACCATCCCTGTTTCCCCAGTGAATAGGGTCGGAGGGGGGTGGGGGGGGGTGTTGTGCCGTCAGTATTTATGCTTCTTTCTGCCGTACTATCACGTGAAATTAAATTAAAGAATTCACAAATGGGGCCGCAGGTCACAGGCCATATTGGCAAGACACACTTTCCCTCCCCCGCCGCTGCCCCTAACCCGATGCCCCCCCGCCCCCCGACTTCATTCAGCACCCAGAAGAAGCACAGTACGCAGCTGCCAGGACCCAAACATGCAGCAACCCGGCCCGGGAGGAGTTTGCTGCGACAGTGTTGAGCGTTCTACGCATGCGTCGGAGTGGTGCCGTCGTTCTGGCGCGTGTCCGCACGGTCAGAGAGGCCTAAGTGGACCGTCTCTCCGGACTAATCGGGCTCTTCGCGCCGCTAGCGTTTACCGGCTGCAGCGGTTATGGGGAAGCTGAACGTGGTGATGCTTCGGTACCTCTCCAAGGAGCATTTCAGGGTCCTGACAGCGGTGAGCTGGTGGGGAGGCCTGCCTGGGGTGACAAGCGAATGGGGGCAGGAGAGGAGGCCTGCGTAGCTTAGCTCAGCCTTGCGCATGGAGTCCCTCGTGGACGGTTAGCTAAGCGGAGTCGGGCAGGTTAGGAGACATGGGTAGGAGACCGGATTGGTTGTGTCGCAAACGGCAACGGAAGAAAAGCTGTAGGGGAATGGGACTGGCTTCTGTTCTCCCTGCTTCTGCCAGGGTCTGATATGGGTGTTTCTCGGTGGGTAGGGCCAGGTCGTGCCGTTCTTTCCGTCAGCCGGCCGCCTCGGAGGGATCGTTAACGTCAGGGCGGTTGCTGGGCCTGCCCAGGTGGTGGCTTGCCAGTAAGGTACCGGTCACCAGTTTCTACACACGTGTTGATTGCTTTTGCCCTGGCTAACGACGAATGAGCAAAGGTTTAACAGTGTGCGTGCAGTTTTGACTAGTTGTGTGGTAAGCACACAACCGCATCAGTTGGCCTGTGTGACTGCTGACTGCCAGAGTTCTAGTAGAAAGGCAGATTCAGCTATGGCTGTGAAAGTATGAGAAAAGAGTCTCATTTCAGAAACGTAGAACAGCTCCTTTGTCTGCTCCTGAGACTGAAATCTAATCAGCCATTCATCCTCTGGCCAGTTCTGTAGAAGTCTCAAGGCTGAGTTATACAAGGTATATCAGGGTGCAGTGATTGCATATTTAAAAGGTGTGGTTAAGACATTAAAAAAAAATGTGAGAAGTGATTTTAGTCTTAGTCTGAAGTATGATCTGATGTTTCATTGTTGAACACAGAGGCTAATAATTTTTTTCTTATTTACTCTTTTAGGTGGAAATGGGCATGAAGAACCATGAAATAGTTCCTGCTAGCTTAATTGCTTCCATTTCCAGTCTTAAACATGGTGGCTGTAATAAAATCTTGAGAGAGTTGGTAAAACACAAACTTCTAGCTTATGAACAAACCAAAAGTGAGTTTGAACTTGTATGTGTTGGGCTCCCTGTTTCATTCTATGAGACAGTGCCTCACAGTGGTACTTGCAGAAGTACGACATCTTGACATGTGTGAATATCCAGAGCACTTGCTAGTCTTACCTTCTCTGGCACCTACCCTGGGAATATGGATTTTGTAACACTGAATGTAGCTGTCTGCTGAGCTGCTCATGCCTATAAGGACAACGGGCAGAAAAGAGATGAACGGTTAACTTCCTTTTTTCCTAAATCACAAAAGTAATGAAAGATAAAGGAATCATCAGTTAAAGCAATATTCAAATGTATACTGAAATCAACCCAAATGAGTTACAGTCTTATAGTACACAAACTGGAGCAGACTTCATAAGCCTTATACATTACACAGCCCCTCAGAAATGGCTACTAAAGTAGTTTTTATTCCCTGTTGTGTGACATGCAGTTGTGCAGGTCTTTCCTCATTTCCTTTAGCCTTTTAGTTGGATCTGACTTTGCAAGCATACTGTTGGAGTCTACAGGAAATTCCTATCCTTTTTGTCCCAGATCTTCAGAGATTAGCTGTTACTCTAGATCATCACAACAATCCCAGATCCCTGCTGTGTTTATCTTCCAAAATGCTCCTCGGATTTTTCGCAGCTTATTTAAAGTACTGCCATTGCCTCTGTATAGAGGCAGATATATCTGTCTTTTGTCCAGTTGTCAATTTTCATGAAACTTGTAGACGAGTTTAAACATCTTTACTGTTCTGTCACATGGGGCTGATATTAGCCGATGGGTAACGTTTACATGGTGGTTGTGTTCTGTAAGCTGAAACAATATTAAATTGAAACTTATATATGTAATGTATACATAACGAGGAATGAGATATTTTGTATTTTATTCTTACCTAGCTGTCCAGGGTTATCGGTTAACTAATGCAGGATATGATTACCTTGCTTTGAAAACTCTGTCTTCCCGACAAATCATAAATTCTGTTGGAAACCAGATGGGTGTTGGAAAAGAATCAGGTAATTAAAAGAACCACATTTTTAATTTTTTAAGCAAACAGAGCTGTAATGTTGCAGATGCTTTGCTGGAAACTAGGATAGTCACATCAGTCAATCTGTCAGACAACCAGGAATTATGGGTCACTTATTGAAATGCTACATGAGGCTTCTGGCTGCATTTGAATATTTCTTCACAAGAGTGTTAGTCTGTTTAGACTGTTTTGTCTGATTCAGGTTGTCACTTAAAATGATACTTTGCAGACAGATGCTGTTTGTCTCATGCTTTGTGAAGTTTTGAACCATTTTAGTGAAAAGTTCATCTTTTTTATCCCACTTAAAAACAAGTCAGTAAAGGAAAACAAGCTCAAAACTATTGGAGTACTCTCTTGTTTCTCTTACGTTCATGTAGATTGTAATTTGACACAGCATGTAATTTGTGTAATTAAAGGAGAAGGGGATTACTGGGCTCAAGTAGTAGAAGTGAAATATAGGCTAAGAAGAAGGCTCTTCTAGAGTGTGATTAAGAACACCAGTATCTGCCTGAAATTTTTCTCAAGGGTGTATTATATTTGTTCTTTGCTGTGCAGATAGCCTAGGGATGTTAACCTGAATATAGAAACCTTAAGATCTTCAACTCTGAAAGGTGTTTCACATCACAGCAGTATTTCTTCTAAAGGAGTATCACAATCTCTTTAACAATAATTGCTTGTTCAAATCTCTAATGTACACCATGTAAATTTAGTTGTACTAAGTGTACTAGAAGTTGCTATGACAGAAGTAGCATTTGTGAGAAGTGAACTAACAAACTTATCACTGCACTATTTCATCAGATACTAGCTTGTTAGATAGCGTTTATTTCTTAGATCTGTGCCATTATGTGTCTTCTAGATATTTATATTGTTGCAAATGAAGAGGATCAAAAGTTTGCATTGAAATTACATAGGCTTGGAAGAACTTCCTTTCGCAGTCTGAAAAATAAACGTGACTACCACAAGCATAGGCATAAAATGTCGTGGCTCTATTTATCCCATCTAGCAGCAATGAAGGAGTTTGCCTATATGAAGGTAGGTGGTCATTCACACAGTATCAGCAATGGTGTAATAGACCGGAAGGTACTTTTCAGACTGTCTTTTGGTCAGTTTGTATTTGCAATACTGGTAGGATTTACAGTTCCCTTACCCACCCCCAGTGCACTTAAACATACACATTTCAGAGAATTTCAATGCTATATGTTTTGTATGCTCTCCAGTGACAAAATGCTTGACATGGAAGTTATGTGGAAAAGAAGCAGGTGTTATGTGAGAATTTCAAATTAACATTGTTATTTATGGATAGATAATTTGTATATCTCCAGTTCTGCTGTATTTCCTTTAAAATGTATTGCATAAACTTGCAAAAACACCTTAAAAATTAAGGAAATTTACAGTTACTTGTCAGAATAATTATTTATTTGTGTTTGTTCAGTTGTCATTTTAAAAAAATGTATTTATTACTTTATAATTTACCATGTTTTCAGTTGTGCTGTTAATGGAGATCTTTCAGTCCAGACAGACTGGTGTTCTGATCTGAAAAAGTACACTTAGTTCTGTATGGTGGGAAAAAGTTTCATTTCCAAGCATATCTTGCTGCTCTCAGAGTTCCAGACTTTTAAACCTGTTTTTAAAAAATGCACATATTTCATAGTGATTGAAAGTTGATGGTGGAAAATGAGTTATTTATAAAAAAACTAGATTTCCCTTCTCCTTTTGTGCTATTCAACAGTCCTATATATATAAAATTCTGTTTTCTTGTTTCTCTTAAAAAATCTTGGTAGGTTCTACCAGTGGCCTCCACAGAGAGAGAAAGAACTATTACCATTATTTAGAACCTCTTTATTGGTCCAGTTGGTCCAACTGGTAAAGTGTTATGTGGTCAGAGCTTGTAGGAATATAATTGTGGGGGTCAGTTTCCCTGAAAAGAGAGTTGGGGGAGGATTAATCATGTGAGAAGTGGTAATAGTGTAATATTTAAGTAAGAAAAACTGTATTTATGTTGCTTTAACTTAGAATGATATCTTGGAAAAATTACCTGGTAATAAGAGAGTGATTAAAATGAGAATGAACCCATAAAAAAGTTGAGTGGATCAAGGGAATAACTACATTTACATTAGAAAAGGCAAACAAGAGAGCTTCAAAATATGACTTACTTTTGCTTAATCTTTCACATGGTGTAATGCTGGCTATTAATACTTAAAAATGGAACTTCTGTTTTACAGCAACTGAGTATAGATTAGCTAGTCAGGCAGAACTTCACTAGCAGCAACTTAGTGTTTTTTTCTAGTGCCTGACACCCTATTCCCAGTTACCTGCTATTGATTACTTGGGGTAACTGATTCTGTCATTTTTTCTGTTCTGTTGCGTTTTTATTCCAGATGTACAATAATTAAACTGTAGACAATGCACATAGCAGTGCACATAGTGTCTAAATTTTTAGTCTTTGCAGTGAAAATTCAAATGGCTGTTAATGCTGTCTTCCTTCTTAAGCATGTGATTTGGTGTTTCCAGTTAATATTTGATTAATGTGTGCTGCTTCTACAGTAATATTTATTGCTTATCTTACATGGGAATTTGTCAATATATGTAATGTTTTCTTAACTGTTTAATTTTAATTTTTCAATGTGTTGTCTTTTTCAAGGCTTTGCATGACCAAAACTTTCCTGTTCCAAAACCTGTAGACTACAACAGGCATGCAGTTGTTATGGAACTTATTGATGGCTATCCTTTGTAAGTACTGACACTTGACTTTTCTGTGTTACAGAAACCCTAGCAATGTTAGGTTCAATAAGGTAACAGGATTAGGATTTTTCCTTGTCATGTGAGTGAATTCTGACTTCCCTATGCTGAATAATGCTTTCTAGCCCACACTCACTAGCATTGTACTTACTTACAGTCTTGCTTCTATCTCTTTATTCAGAGAAACTGTTTTTCTCGTAGTCCAAAGAAACTGGTGAAATTGGCTAATATTTTAAGTAAGGAATACATCAAAAGAGCAGTATGACACATGTTAGTATGTCTCTACATATTGCATATTCTGTATGTTATTGGATCTAATACCCTTCTTGTTCTGAACTCCAGTTCATGATCTTTGCTGTGATAATTCAGGTAATTACAAGTATAACTCACTGTTTCAGAACTTCAGCTCTGTTTACATGGAATACTATGTATAATCTGGTTTTGCTTCTTCAAGGATGATTACTTTGCTTGAGTTCAACATCAAGGTTTGTACGTGAAGGGATGGTTTGTTCCGTTTGCAGACCAGAATGCAGGTCTGTATACTCCATATAATATAGAATAACCTAGTGCTTATTCGGAAATATAAAGTGTCTAGTTCTAGAACAAACCAGTCTGTGCTATTGTAATCAAGATCCAAAGTGTGCAGTTTTAATCAAAAGGAAATTAATCCCAAAGTATAACAAATGAAGAGTAACATAGAAGAGACTTCATTACATTCTGTCTCCCCACTTCATTTGTTAAATAATTCAACATCCATCATGTACGTGGAATACTTCAAGTTGCATGTGGACATCTGCAGTGGATGTTTACATACTCTCTCTTTTCTGTGATTCTGACCTGAAGGAGATAAGTAGTAGAATAATTTCGAGTATGCAGAGATCAAAGAATCTTCAAACAGTTGAGGTTGGAAGGGACCTCTGATAGTCATTTGGTCCAAACACCCTGCTAGAGGGTCACCTGGAACATGTTGCCAGTTCTTCTGTTCTCCATTACCTGAGTTGAAAAACTGATGTGGAGTTGGTGACTTATGGTAAAAAAATTGTTATGCTCTTTTGGACAAGCACAGGGTTATTCATAGTTCCTTCCAGGTCTTCCTAGCTTACCTGCTTTATTTCACATCTCAAAGATGACCCACCAGAGATGGGTGTCCAGTTGTTCGGTACTGTGTCCAGATGATTTTTGAATAGGTTTAAGGAGGCAGACTCTACAGCTACTTTGGACAACCTGTGCCAGTGCTTGTTCAGCCTCACAGTGGAGAAAGTGTTTGCAGTGTTCAGACAGACCCGTCTTGTGTTTCAGTTTGTGCCCATTGGCTCTTGTCACTGGGCATCACTGAAATAAGCCTGACTGTCATCTTTGCACTTTCCCTTCAGGTATTTATACACATTGATGAGATCCCCCTGAGCATTCTCTTCTTGAGGTTGAACAGCCCCAGCTCTTAGCCTTTTCACATAGGAGATGCTCCAGCCTCTTCATTACCTTTGTAGCCCTTTGCTGGACTCTGTCAAGTATTTTCATGTCTCTCTTGTACTGGATGGGCCAGAACTGGACACAGTATTCCAGGTGTGCACTCAGCAGTGTTGCATGGCACTTCCCTCAGCCTACTGGTTATGCTTTGTCTAATGCAGCTGAGAATACCATTAACCACCTTTGCAGAAAGGGCACATTGCTAGCTTGTATTCAGCCTGCTATCTACGAGGACCCCAAGGTCGTTTTCTGCCAGACCTCTTTCCATCTAAGTAACACCCGGTGTGTACTGGTGCATAAGATTGCTCCTCCTCATATTCAGGACTTTGCAGCATTCACTGAACTTCATAAGGTTCATGCTGGCTTACTTCTGCAGACTGTTGAGGTCCCTCTGGATTGCAGTATGACCCTCTGAGGTATCACGCACTCCCAGTTTGCTGGTGTCTGCAAACTTTGCCCCATCATCCAGCTCATTAATGAATATGTTAAACAGGACTGGAAACACTTTTGACTGCTGAGGTACACTGCTAGTCACTGGGGTCTCCAACTAGACTTTGTGCCCAGCCATTCAGGCAGTTTTCAATCCACCTCACTGTCTGCACATCCAGACAATACATCAACAGCTTTTTTGTGAAAGTCTAATGGGAGACAGTGTCAAAGCCTTACTGAAGTCCAGGCAGATGATATTCACTGCTGTCTCCGCATCTGGCAAGCCAGTCATTTCATCACAGAAGTTTACCAGGTTGGTCAAGCATGACTTCCCCTTGGTGAGTTTGACTGCTCTGGATGATTTTCTTGTCCTTAACATGCATGACAGAGGTTTCCAGGACTAGCAGCTCCATCACCTTCCCAGGGTTCAAGGTGAGGCTGACCAGCCTATATTTCCCTGGGTCCTTCTTGCCCTTCTTGAAGATGGGAGTGATGTTTGCCTTTCTCTTTCAGTCACCATGATTGATCAACAGTTATCAAGAATGGCCTAGCAGCCAGTGCTCAGGGGGGATCCCATCAGGGTCCATGGACTTACGTATGTGCAGTTTGTTTTCCCTGAACTCATCATCCTTACTCCAACCCTTCCCCCTGGTCACTGGAACCTGAGATTCCTGTTTCTGAAGATACAAGTTAATATGACTTCCAGATTCAGAGATCAAGTGGGACATTCTGTGATGCAGACCTGTGGCTATGAGAAGCATCACTGATTAATTTTTGTACAAATATGAAAGTGTTCCAACAGGAGCCTGTTACAGAGCTACTAGAAATCAATTGGTTCGTCTTTAATTGTACAAATGATCCATTCTTATACTACTGTAATTCTGCATTTTGACCAAAATATTTAACATGATAGTTGTAAATACTGACCACTTCTTGACAGTTTATGGTACAATAAGGTAACTGCCTTTTCCCTTGGTTTATTTCTAAAGACCAGATGATTTGTATTTTGTCACTTAAGGTACTTAGCTTTCTCAGGTATAAGTTCAGGAAGGCTTTAAGCTTTTTTTCTTTTACTTTTTCCCTGAATTGGTGTAGAAAATATGTCATGGGGCATTTGAATTTGAATACAGGAAGACCTAGTTCCTACTAGATTACTTTAAACAGGAGAGACATAAAAAATATCAATCTATTATTTAAATAATGCATTATGACAATAGTGCCTCATGGGAGTCAGTGAACATAAGCTGAAATGAGATTTAGCCTGGATATAAGGAGACTTTTCTCCCATTGGGGAGTTTGTGGTCTCTTCATCCTTGGAATTTTTCACGTCCCAACTAGACAAAGCCCTTAGCAGTCTGGTCTGATCTCAGAGTTGATTCAGATTTGAGGAGGGTATTGGATTAGAGACTTGAAGGCCCTTTTTACTTGAATCACCCTGACATTCTGTCAGATGTATTTCATATTCTTTATCTGTATTTTTAAATTAAGACTTTCAAAGTTCAGAATATTTTATTTTGTTTAACTTTCAGGTGCCAGGTGCGCCAGATGGAAGATCCTGCCTCTCTCTACAGTGAATTAATGGATCTGATTGTTAAACTTGCAAATCATGGTTTGATTCACGGTGATTTCAATGAATTTAATCTCATACTGAATAATGATGACCATGTCACTATGATTGATTTCCCTCAGATGATATCAACATCACATGCCAATGCTGAATGGTAGGTTCAAATTTAAAGATGTTTTCAAAGCTGCTAAGTGCTGGTGACTTGTTTCCATAAGCCTGTTACCAGTTCTTTTGCTACCGTTGTTGTGCCTCACAAAAGCCATTCCAGTCTTTTTAGGATAAATATGTAAATGATTGCTTCTCAGAGAGAATGATGTTGTTCAGTTAAAAAATACTTAACTGAGTCATTCCAGTTAATGAAATAAACTGCAATCAGTTTGTCTCCCTAGCCTTTTCTCTTGGGATCACTAATAGAAATACTTCTCAAATAAAATCAGTAAAAGACAAGAAATATAGGTCATTGCAGTAGACTTCATTAACCTTGATTTTTGTCTTTGTACAATTTGTATTTTTTTTCAGGTATTTTGACAGAGATGTTAACTGTATTAAAGAGTTTTTTAAGAAACGCTTCAACTATGAGAGTGAGCTCTTCCCAGCATTCAAAGACATCAGGTAGAAACTGCTAGATGAATTTGACTTCTCCTATTTATGATATTTATGTTGGTTTTGTGAGCAAAATGAGTGCCTGTGAGAGATGCCTGTAAGCAAAATAAAATAAAAAAAAATAGGCCCAACTACCCAATTCTAAATTATATTTTTGTCATTCCTATTGTGTTTTCTTCAACCGAAGTTACTGCAAGTGGTTTCCAAAAGCTAAAGTGTGCTTTAGAATCCACAGCTGCCTCCTTTGTCTTTCCTCTTGCAGCTAAGAAAGAGATATCTGAAAAGCTTGATCCAAATGGTAAATATCTAGGAAATGTTAACAGTGATGCAGAATCATTTTCTTTCACTTCTCACAGCCTATTTTGACAGTTTTGGTATATTGAGGATTAATTTGGGTTTCAATTTAAAATTTATTTTTTAAATGGTAGTAACTATAGTAACTATGGTGACTGCCTCTTCAAATGTTACTATGTTCAAAGTTTTCTTCCTAATGTCTCTTGTCCCTTTAAAAAAGTATTTTTTTCCCTTATTTTAAGATGGAAACTATTGCAATTAAAGGGTTTTATTTCAGTCTGAGTGCTTTTCCAAAGGGGTACCACACTTGTATCAGTCTCTGTGTGTCAGTGTACCCTTTATTCTTCTGTTTCCTTAAATGTAATTTGAACTTAAAGACAAATTATATTTCTGCTAAAATAAAATAATTTCCTAGAAATAAATAAATGCTGGTTATAGAATTATGTTCTCTAGAAATTTGCTTTTCTCAGGTCACATTCTGTTATCTAAAGCTCAGCACTGTCATGTGCTGTTCTGTGTGTTTCAGCAGAGTATATCCTCTTAGTTAATACTATGGGTAAATATAGTCTAGCTTGATTTAATATTTTTAGTCCAAAATGTAGCACATTGGTATCTTGACGATTTAGCATATTACAAGAAAACATGCTTCTTTCACAGAAGAGAGTGTTCTCTTGATAGAGAGGTTGCTGCCAGCGGCTGTACAAAGGAAATTCAGGAAGATGGTGAACTGGTTTACCCACCAGATTCTGATGAGGATGATAATAAAACAGAGTCATCAGAAGTTGTAGAAGATGCTGAGAATAAGCTCAAGTTCTTCAACAAAGATAAAGAAAACAACGCAGACTTCATGTATGAAGTGGGTGATCTCTCTGAAAGCAGAACCTGTAACAACTTTATATGCAGCGATGAAGAGGCTGATAAAACTGAAAGTAGTGGAGACTCATTGAATATGTTAAACTTGAGTTCAGCCTTAGAAGAAGTTGAAGGGAAAGCTATGCTTTGGAAGCCCGGTGAAGATGCAGAGAGTTCTGCGATTGTTTTTTTTAAGGGCAAAAGCATAACCAAAAATGCCACTGAAGTTAAAAATCAGAGAGGTCAAGGAGGGTGCTGTAATGATAAGGACAATGAAGACAAATGCCCTAATCTGTTTGACGTGTCAACTTTAAATAAGAAATTCAGGCATTACAGGTAAAGATTCTTATTTCTATCTAGGTGTGTGGTTCCTCCCCTCCCCCCAGTAAATATAAATCTTTTCAATAGTTCAAAAAGGACTGCTCTTTAGCTACTCTTCTTTAAATTAAAGACTGAAAATTCAATTAATTTTTAAAACATTGCAATGAATGTCTTTCCTGTTGGACTCATGATAGTAACCTGTTGATTGGTGTACATATGTAATGCTTCATATGTAAGGTGTGACAGATCAGTTGTCCAGCTGTTGTAGTACTTTCTAATGAGAGAACTTCGATTTAATTCATAGACAAACCTATTTTCTGTGGTGGATTTTTTTCCCCTCTTTTATTATTTAATACAGGTAGTGAAAGAGTTGTTGATATTAAAATACTTCTTCTAAATATGAGTAAATTTGTAATTTGAATGCTCTGTCTCAAAGCTAAATTATTCTGCTGCTCAGTCAGCTGAAGTTAGCAAGAGTAAGCTCCTTGGAATGTATTATTGAAATATATTGTACTGGATGCTGTTATAACTTTTAATTCCTTTCCTGACATACGTAGATATTCCTGCTTACCTTCAGGCAAGCTTCTTGTAAATGAAATTCTAACTCTTGAGTTAGCCAGCCCACCATTTACCTGAATGCATATACCAAGCTCATACTCCTTGTCGTCTGCTTTTGCTTTCTAGTGAAATGACTTATCAAAATATTATGCAGAATCTGATTATTTTTTTTTTTCAGTGTTCTGAAGGATTTTTTGTGTGCTTGGTATACATTCAGCTATTGTGCAACAAATTCATCCTTTCTTAACATGCCTGTTTGAACAAACAGTGCTGATATTTAACATAGAAAAGTTTTGTAGTACTTGCATGTTCTGTTTGGAATGTTCAGATCATATCTCAAAGTTAAGATTAAAACATGCTTATAAAGGCAAAGAATGTTTATCTTACTGGTGGAGTAAAACATTAATTTATGTATTTTAGAAATGAAGAGAGTATCGTTCATACTGCTGAACACAAAACAAGTATGACATCAGTCCAAAGTGTTGGGAGCTGTTCAACCATTCCAGTGGTAAATATTGTGTTATTATCTAGGTTACTCTCAGACCATATTAGATTGCACATAGCTGTTAATACCTATTTGTAAAAATGTTCTTGAGCACTAATTATCTTTGAAAAGACTGTTCTATGTACCTCTCTGGTTTGCATTTCCATGCCCATAGAAAAATAGAACTGATACTTCTGTAACTGTTTACAGAGAATTATTGCCAGCACTGTATCTTTGCTCTTTCACCAAAGTTGTACGTCAGTGTTAACAACTCTCATTTAGCCAATAACAGGCTAACATATGTTGATGCACTAACATATAATCAGTTCATTAATTTCTGTTGATAGCCACAATTAATATATTTTTATTTTAAAAGTGTATGCTTGAGTCAGGATTTAGTTTGTCCTTTTTCACCTGTCAGAGATTTCTTCACCCTCTCTTCTGAAACATTTATATATGAACTCACTTCAGTAGTGATTTATGTGGCAATGTGAATTTATTTGACTTTAAATTCTGCTGTAAATATTCTGATTTATATAATACAAAGTCTTTTTCTTCAACCCCAGAGTATGCACTAGCCAGCATGGCTACTCTGTCACATTTTTTAAAAGTGCATTTTTGTTTTGAAGAAAGTCCAGTGTTCTTTATTAGCTATAAAGCATTCTTGTACAAAACAGGAAGAAACTTCTTTTAGCTGGCAGCTGATCTATGAGGTATTTTTTTAATTAGGTCAGACTACATACTTGCCATTGTAAATACGAATACCTATGTTCAGTCTCATTTTCATTTGCAGTTAGGAGCAGATAATCTGAAAAATCTAGTTTGAGGAACATGTTAGTGTAGTTTGAGTTATTCCACAACAGATATAAAATGTAAGTAACGTACTTTTTCAATTTGTGTCTTTTCAAAGCATTTCTATTGCTTGATCGGAGTTTTAGTCCTAGAAATACTGTATCTGAAATCTCTAGTGCTGGCAAGAATTTTTTTTTTTATTTAGTTAGACTTGGATCTTCATTTACAGTCTTTTCAGTTTGCTACTCTACTGCTTCAGTAGTTTACTAACAAAGCTTTTGCTGTTATCCTATTAAGTGATGTGTTACTCTGTGAAGCAGCTTTGTTTTACACAAGGTACTTGTTAGTGACTAAAATATTGGTAGAATATTTGGCTGCTTTACTCTTTCATATTTGAATTATTTTTTTAAGATAAGTATTGATCATTTCTGTATCTTTAAAATAAAGTTAGGTGTGTAAGGAAATGTTAAGAAACAACACATTTGCATCTTGTCTAAGGCATTTTTTGTAGGACTTCATGCAAGGAAAGAAAAACTAGCTTTGATCTTTGCATCAAAGTTATTATTCTATGGAATGGCATTTTATCTTCCTACAGGAGACAAAGGATTAGCTTAAAACTATGAGATGAAATAAAGAAGAACAAGGAAGACATGCCAGGAATTCTCTAGCTTTTGGTCCGTGCTTTTTCCCCACTCTTTTTTTTATTCCCTTTTCTTTTTAAGTTTGCTAATTGAAGTGTGCAGAATTTAAAAAAAAAAAAAAAAAAAAAAAAAGTGCTATGAAGTCCTGTAGAGGAAATGAATTGAAATTGTACTCCTGTACACCACTTGGTGGTAGCAGTGATCATTCTGTAGCTATAGAAACTGTTTTGAGTATTTAGAGGATGTATGTTTATTCTATAGGCAGATGCATAAAAAGCATTAAAAACATGTAAATGTCGTCATGTACATACCTGTTCTAAAAGAAAGTCCTGGAGATTCTCCACCATAAGGGCTCCCAAGAATTAGCAAGAGACATCAGTTTGCATACACACATATCATACGTATTCATTAGATTTCCTAGAAAGGGGTGTCTTATGATAGTGAGTTCCCAGAATTCATTTACATAGTCCAAGCATGCATAGTGAAAATAGGGTGAGGGTCTTCAGTCGTTGAGGGAGGAAGTAAGTAATTTTCTTCACAGGATTTGAAGTAGTCTTCTTCACAGTGTTAACTAGTTGACGCTCTTTCTAGAGCATGCGCTGTGAAGTCCAGGTGTCTCCCTTTTAAATCAGCAGAATCATTTTCTCTGTAATAGGATCTCTGTGTCTCTTTGTTCAAGCCCCCCTTATCACATTCTAGGAATTGCCCAAGTGTCCACTGAAGGCCTTGAGTCTCCTATCAGTGAAGTCTAATGAGGGTCTCAATCTTGCCTAAACAGACAAAGAGACATAAGGAAACAGTTGAGAAGTCAGGAGTCCTTGAGAAACAACTGAAGCAAAACACAGTCAAAGCTTTGAAACAAAACAACAAGCAAAGCTTTCGTACATCGCAGTTAGTCTTAATAATTGTCAGAAAATAATTTGTTTGAGCCCTTTCATTCCCTTTCAGGATTCAGCCACATAAAAAACTTTATCCTGAACCACTTTATCTTGCATAATCCTTTCACTTAGATGCTTTTATGCTGAGTAGAATATTTCTACCCATTGCTGAATATTTTAACTTCTGAATGTTAGCTCATTATACATATAATTTCTTTAGCTCTATTTGTAATATAAGAAAACAATTACAAAACTAAAAATGTGAAATAATGGCACTGCAGTAAGATCCACTAGGCTGCTTAGAGCTGATGCCTGCTGTTGCTGCTAGCATTATCTCTTGTTTATGCAGCTTGCTTTCTGGTTGTTGAAGAAAACATATTAAAACATAAGCATATTTTAAAATTAATTGCATGAACAAATTCATACAGGCATATATAAACAATGGCAGTAATAACAGTAGGTACAGTCATAACTTGGAGACTATGCCAAAAAGACAAAACTAAAAAAAAAAAGGCGCAAACCAAATGATTACTGCAGGACATGAAATGTTCTATTGGTCTTTTTTTTTAAAAAACTTAAAAGACATTTATTCAGCCATAGAATATTATCAGCTTTTACATTTTTGTAGAATGCACCGAGATGTGCTAGTCCTTTATGATCCCTATAAGATAGACACCTAAACTCTCTAAGGTATGATTTAAAATGCTGTTTATTAGAGCTAAGTCTATCTGAAAAGAATAACAGATAATCCCACACCCCTTGAAACACAGGGAACCCTGAGGGTATAGCTCCAATACAAATGCAGCACACCATGGAAACCTGGTTCATAGCAGACAATCTCTCTTTTCAATGAATGAGCTATTTTATGATTTTCTTACAAAGAAACAGTGCTGTTCATATTTGCTGCAATCAAACTGAACTGATGTTCACATGAGAACTTCTTGATGCACTTTTAGGTAAAGACAGGGCCACACAGGAGGCCTGGTTGCCAGTACTGAGCAGGAGCTGGCTTAGCTGATATTACTGCCAACAGATCTGTGCAGCACAACACAGGCCTGAATAGAACCATATACATTCAGCTTAGTGTAACACAGCAGAGACCTGGGCTTGCTCCTGTTAACTGTTATGAAGATCTTCTCAATGGACGGAGATCTTCCAGTTAGGATCATGCATGTTCATTGGTACTGAAAATGCACTATCATTGTGCCATGTCTTAGTACTGAATGATCTTCAGAAAGTTCTGATACAAATTGTTTGTTTTTTTATAGGAACTGGTGAAACAGAAAATAAAACGTCAACTGACCAAACATCAGAAGTCCACTCTGAGGCAACAGCTACAAAAAGGAGAGGCAAATATTTATACCAAACAACGCAGAGAAAATATGCACAACATTAAGTCAAGCTTGGATGCAGCTAGTTTTTGGGGGTAATTTATTAAAGGTTCCACAGAACATGAGAAAACTTGTAATGTGTACAGTTGAAAGAATTATGCTAATAACAAATAATCCTTTTATATAGTGGAATATAAATCTTTTGGTGTTTGTAGGCTCTTACCTGTTAAGAGACGGTTTCAGTGACAGCTTAACAAGATTTGAGTTACTGTTTTAGGCTAAGATGTGCATGCACTTTTGCACTTCTAATTTAGGGCTTTTCACAGTAAACGGGTTCTTTTTGGTGTGTGACCTTAAGTCTGTTTTGCTAATCAGTTCCAAAATTATACAAAGGTTGTCCATTTGATTCAGCATCATGAGAAAAGACAGGATGATGGAAATCTTTGCTGTTTATTTTCAAAATAGTCCTGTAAAACATCCATTAACTCTTTTAAAGATATTCTAATGAATGACTGTAAGTTATCATTTTTATTTACTCTGGCAGACAAGACTCTTCTGAGACTGGAGTAAGCAAGTGAGGAACTACTTTTCAAAGTTACAGCTTAATATATCTTCATTAAGCCTATTTTCTCCAAAGCAGCAGAATTCCTGATGTATTTAAAGTTGATAAAGGTCACAATGACATTTACATGTGGAGTCAACTTCAGAGTACTCACTCCACTTGAATGTCCACATGTGAAATAAAGTATTTAGAATTGATTTAGGAAAATGCAGAGATTAGGACAGTGGTGTCATTGACTATCTTAAATTCATGTGTTCATCAGGAAGGAATTTGTTGGTTACAACAAAATTGGTTTATAAGGTGTTATTTTAATAAGTACGCATAATGTAGTGTTCATTAATCTGTCACCAAACAAAATTTGAAAATTAGCAAGGACGAGACAAACATTGTGCTACACAAACTCAATATATGCAAAAGTACGTGTTAAATCTTTTAAGTGATGTACAAGGTTGTGCAGCAGTTTTCCACTGCTGAATCCTAAAAACCTAACTTTTTTTTTTTTAAAGATTTTTACAGTAACTAAAGAACACATCTGTACTTTGGGATTTTTTTCCAGGTTAGGAAGATTTACAGAACTGATATAAAATTATTCTGTACCAGCAAAGTAACTCTAGTTGATGTAGTTTATGGTGGCTACAAGCCTCCTTTCTGAAGGAAAAAGTATGTTACACCTGTATAATAGCAGTGTATTTGCCTCTGTACTTCAAGCTTTGTCAGCCTACAGGTTCTGTTCTTTTATATGTAAATACTCTAATTCACTGGCATTTTAATATACTTACTGTATATGGAAACTGCGTTCCTAGAAAATAGATTCAAATGGGTTTACCTAATAAATCACAAGTTTAATTTTGCTTCCTTTTTCAATTTCCACTTGCCATTAATTCAAAGTTATGTTCTTGGTATGTAACTGAAAGAGAAAGAAAATAATATTTTTTAGTTAATTCACTAAAAAGGAGTCCACATGCTACTTTCATGTTAATGAGTTTGGAACAGCTTTACATTTTTTTTTTTTTAATTTTCAGTCTCTCCCTAGACTTTGAGAATCCTGGGGAGCAAGGAAGTCCTTGTTCATTTGGCAGAAACCAGAATGATCTCTGCTTCAGGGTGTCATCAATATCTGATGAAACAACTCTTCCACTTTCTCTCTGTAGCCTGTAGGTGGGTGTGTGTAATAGAAGGAAGCAATAGGAATGAGCCTGCCCATTTACCTTTATACCTAACTACCTAAGATAAGCAATCCAGGGAGGTGAACCCTTTGAAAGATTTTGGAGTTAGAGACTCGATTGGCAAACATGGGGAGATTCTTTAGGAATGCAGTGCATCAATCAACTTCAAGAATTAAGTACAGTATTCAACTAATTCAGGTTTGAGGATAGTTTTTGGATGCTTTCTGTAAAAGCAGACCCAAGATTAACAGAATCTTGGAGTCTTTGCAACTTGTAATTGCATGAGTTCTTCCTTATAAAGATGATGCCCTAGTATTTAGACCATTAAGTACTGAAGATAACTATCTGACTTTCCTAGCAATACAATTGCTTTATTTAATCTAAATGTCTTGTACAGTCAAGGTATTAAGACACAGAAGTAATTAATCAGCTTGTATTTGCATGCATATCACAAATTATAATTCTTCTTTAACGTCATATCACATTTCTCAGGTAGTGCTGGTTATTTTATAAGCTTGCATTTCAGAAGATTGATTCAAAACATTTTCTTAGAATATTTAATTACATTCTTAGTAGCATTCATCTTGTGGTAAAAACTTTGACTACTTGACAGCCTTGGAAAATTTTATGTCACTTCGTTTTTTTTTTTTTCTGGCTTTGAACTGTCTACTTTTTAGCCAGTGTTTCTGTAAAACTCCAAAGTATCAGAATTTTAATACTTATGCATTACAGATGCAATGTAATATGGAGCTTCTTAAACATAGTTTTCCTACAAGTAATTCAGTGTGAGGGGGTTGATGGTCCCTTTTTTATTTTTTGTCAATCAGACTTCAGCATGAATGCTGTTTTTTTGAAAAAGCATGCCAACACTATTGACTTACTCTGTATTTATAGTTTTCTCATCATACAAGCATAACATTAGTTTTGAAGTGCTTTTCAAGGCATAATAAACTGCTCTGATGCATCCCTTGAAACAAGGAGAGTTGAATGTGACCCACATACCATGGTGTTGTGGTTTAGACCCAGTTGGCAACAAAGCACCATGCAGCTGCTTACTCACTCCTACCTTCCCAATGGGATGGGGAGGAGAATTGACATAAAAACAAAGGTAAAACCTCGTGTGTTGAGATAAGAATAGTTTAATAGAACAGCACGAGAAGGTAATGATAGCAATACTTGTAAAATTAATATATAAAGCAAGTAATGCACAATGCAGTTCTTCACCTCCCTATATCCCATGCTCAGCCCCTTTCAGAGTCTAAATCACCACTTGCACGCTGGCCAGCTCCTCCAGTTATATAGTGAACATGACATCAGCATGGTGTCAGATATCCCCTTGGCTAGTTTGGGTGACCTTGAATAGATGTGTTGGGTTTGTGTATGCTGGGGTTTTGGTAGCGGGGGAAGAGACTACATATGTGAGAGGCTTCTAGAAGCTCCCCTGGCTCCTAGTCAGACCAGCCTCTGGCCAAGGCTGAACCAATTAGCAATGGTGGCTGTACCTCTATGATAACATATTTATGAAGGGGAACCCAAGGAGCAGGAGTTGTGAGGGAAATACCTATGCAAACACTAAACAATCACTGTTGACAAAAATGGCAGTGGGGAGGAGGTGCACCAGAGCAGAGTTTCACCTGCAGGTCATGGTGAGACAGCAGGCTGTCCCCTTGGAGACTGTGAAGGTCCATGGTGGAGCAGATGCCCACCTGCAGCCCATGGAGGACCGCACACTGGAGCGGGTGGCTGCACCCAAAGCTGAGACTCTGAGGGAAGCCTGCAGGGGAGCAATCCATTGCTGGGATGACTGGAGCCTGCAGCAGGGACCCACACTGGAGCAGTTCCTGAAGAATTGCAGCCGATGGGAATGCCTCACAGCAGAGTTGGTGAAAATGGGACCCTATACTGGAGTAAGCAAAAGTGTGAGGAGTCCTTTCCCTGAGGAGAAAGAGCAGCAGAAACAACAGGTGATGAACTGACTGCAGTGCCCATCCCCTGCACCACTGGAGAAATCGAGGAGCAAAGTTGAGCCCAAGGAAGAAGGGAGGGACAGGGGGAAGGTGTTTTTAAGGTGTGATTATATTTCTCACTTTCCTACTCTGTTTTGATTGGTAAATTATGTAGTAGTGGTGTTCGATTAAAATCACTGTTCTTTTTTCCTTTCCCAGTCAAGTTTGTCTTTTGCCTGTGACAGTAACTGCTGAGTCATCCATTCCTGTCCTTGATCCCCCAGTCTTTTATTTTCTTCTCCGCATCCCCAAGCAGAAAGCAGTGAGTGATCAGTTGCATGGTGCTCTGTTGCCATCTGGACTTAAACCAAGACACTAGCAAACAAAACAAAAAAATATTTTATATGAATTCAACAAAACTATTTTAATTCCTTTGTTTTTACATTTTACTCCAGAGTTCAATGGGATGTCCTGATTTTGTGCCTCCAAATCCAGTTATATTTAAACTGTTAAATTAGGAATCTTCTGGCTGTCATTTTGATCTCATTTGAACAGTTACGTGGTATGAAGACAAATGCTGTGATACTACTTGATTTTTCTTTAAGGAGCTTTTCTCCCTTAACATTTAAATCTCATTGTAATCTGTTGTGGGATGTAAGGCACTTATTAATCTCCATTAATCTGCCAACAGTATGTTAGAATTAATAAAATCAGTCTCATACAATCAACGGTTTCCTTCTAACTTGCTGTGGAAGAAGTAAGAAGAAATGGCTAGTAAAGGAACTGGGGGAAAAGCCTGTATACTTCTGCATTAAGCATCTCTACTCACTAAATTCCCATACTGTTACACTGAAAAGTGAGAAACTGCACAAGTAGTTCCCTGGGAATAAGTAGGAACATTCATGTGGAAAGATGCTACTCTCATACGACTGTCATGTAAGGATCTCTCCTGAAGCTTAAGAGTTCAACATCTGTGTCTCAAGCCACCCTTCAGGCAGGTTTATGCTTCTGGGTAAATTTGTATAATTGTGAATATATATATATATGCATCACAGGACTAAATAATTTTATCTGGAGTTGAAGAGTGGGGGTAGGAGGAAGAGGGGGGAGGCACGAAGTTAGTCTGGAGGAAGAAGGGCTTTCCCTTTCATAAGTTGCCACAGGTAACCAGTGTTTGCAGATCTAGTGGCGAGATTTTTATTGAAAGTGTCTGTACAAACTGCTTGGACAATGCATCTGTGACCATCCACAGATCTAAGGTGAAAGATTATTAAAATTAAACAAAAGTGTGTGTCTTGGAGTACTATTTTTCTTTAGATTTTCTGAGGTATGAGAAGAATGTTAAAGACTTTCTAATATAGGTTTAACCTACATAGGCTTGAAATTACTGTGAGTGCATGCCACTAAATCTGACTGGAGAAAAACGTTCATAGTGCTTTGTATAGAAAGTCAGGTGAGAATTTACATTCATTCTTTTTATCTCCAGTAAAAAGACAAGTTTAAAAAGATTTAGGTAGACTTGTCCATCACATCTTGATTTTTTAATTATTTTTTTTTAATGGCATTTAAACAATGTGAGCAGGTCTTAGTCTGGAAAGAAGATAATCTCATTGTTCCCTGAGAGAGCATGTCTGCAGCTCTTACAAACATTAGTTTCAACCTTTGCTAGTAATGGCCAGATAAGAATGAATAACTATCCAGCATCCACTTGCTGTACTAACAGCTACTTTTTTTTTTTTTTTTCAGTGTGAGCTGAATCAGTTTGGTATGAATTTTCCTAAGAAAGAACAAACATGTCAGAGCAAATAGCCTGCTTGCTTCCACTCTACCACGTACAGTTTTCATTCCCATTGCAACTCATGGGCTCCTGCTTTCTCTGAGCCAAAAGCATGCTCTGTTGTAAATGCCTCCATAGAAGGCTTTCCCCAGCAGCTGGCAGAGACAGGAATTTGAAAAGTTCCTGCCTCCCTGGATGCAGCTGGCAAGATCAAAAATCTTGATATATAAAACAAGAGACATGAGTAGGCAGTAGCCTTGCCTGTTAAGACTTGTTCTTACTATCTGTGCTAAACGTTTGTTTGAACTGATTATGTTCCATACTGGGACTTCCAAGAGGCACTAGGTGAAAAACATTTTTTGTCTGAATTAAGAGGTTATAGATCTATCTTTCTCTGAAAAGGCTGTAATCTATTATTTTTGACAATGGCCTTCTGTATAAAGGATGCAAGGATTCAAGTTTTGCAGTTAGCTAGAAAAACTTAGCCACACTTTGGTTTTGGAAAATCTGTCTGCACATGCTCAATGGAGACAATTTATAGGTGTGAAATTTCTTTCCCCTAATAATTTTGTGTGTGCTCTGAGGAAATGGACCTTGAGGTCCATCTCTGGGCTGCTGTGAATCATGTCTGGACTTGCAGTGGCCCTCACATGGCCACACTTGCTGACCCAGGAACATGGAGGGCAAGACTGCAGTATTCATGACACAGAGAACACAGGCCAGCTATTAGTTTCAAGAAGGAGGCATGTCAGACTGCCTACTAACTGTTGGGACAGAGAACATCAGGCTGAGACAGCTAATCTGCAGAAAGGCAGAAGCAGGCAGCCC